AGTGATATGGCTTACACCAGAGAGGCACCAACCCAGCCTGGGAGTGATGTAGTCCAGGATGGAAGGGGGATCTGCTTAGATCTGCTTAGATCTGCATGTTGAAACCACATCCCCAGCTGCCCAGCCTGGAAACACAGAAACAGCCCAGCCATACCTCTCCCTTACCCTCCTACTGACCAAGTCCTATAGATTCTATCCTTAAATAATTCTTAAATCCACCCAGTGCTCTTATTCCAACTGCTGTGTTCTTTATTCAGTCCCTTATCACTTCTTACCTGGTTCTTTCCTGTAGTCTTCTTTGTCTCTCTGACTAGGAATCTTCTTCCCCAATCTCTTTTCCAGGCTGCTGCTGAGGATCCTCCCACAGTGCAAATCTAGAAATTTTTACACTGCCTAAAACTCTTCAATAGTTTCCCACGTCCCTCAGGTAAACTCCAAACTCTTTCCTATGGAATAGAAAGCCATTTGAGATTTGAATCCCATTCAATTGAAACCACCTTTGAAAATTACAACAGTGAGAAAATTAAGACAGTGAAAGAGATCTGATCTAACCAACAGCCATCTTGCCTTTACCCTCCAAACTGCATTTAATCATTCCTGGGCTTGGGCCAAGCTAACTTTAGGAAACATTTAGTTTATAGTTTAAATGATAGTAGCCCTTCCCCAAAACTAAACTGTCTTTGCAGGTTAGGCAGATAACAGGAGCCTGAATTCTGCTGAAGTGTAGACATAAATGATTACCAGTTATTATTCCAGAAGTCACAAGATTTACAACTTTCACAAATATTCCTACAGATAACATCACTATTGTAGAACCTAAGATTGGCCTTTTCAGATGTCTTTTCAGGATTTTGCATTTTTGACAACCAGTGGCTCCACCTGGACCTGCCAACCCATCCTGTGGCCTCTCCAAGAGGCAGACTCAGCACACATGCAGGAGGACCATTTTCCACACTCCTACGATTGCATCGCGAACCACTCAGCAGCACTCCATTCCCTGGATTGCCAAACTATTATTGAAAAACCCTAGCCTCTGAATTTTCAGGGAGACTGATTTGAGTAATAAAACCCCAGTCTCCTGTTCAGCTGGCTCTGAGTTAATTAAACTCTTTCTCTTTTGCAATTCCACTGTCTTGATAAATCGGCTGCATCTGGGCAGCAGGTAAAATGAGACTGTTGGTTGGTTACATAAACTTTTCAGCCATTATTGCTCACCTTCTTCCTTCTCAGGCTGCTCTTCAGCCTTACAGAACCCCTGGCAGTTTCCCAAAAATGCCAGGCTGTTTCAAATGCACCCAGAGTCTTGGCTCCTTCAGTTCTGGGTGGATTCTTTTAAACCTTCCCTCCCCATTCACCTGAAGAAAGGCCAATATTATTCAAAATTCAGTTTAAGGGTCATTTCCTTCCTGAACCCTCTTTTAGCTTCCACCTCAGCACCATTCCCTGACAACCTCCCTCCCGACTCTGTCATTGCTTACTCTCTGGAGTCTTTTGGAGTTACCTCCTGCAGCATAGATGGCATACTTTGCTTCCTTCATTGTTTCTCCAAGCCACGATGATCATCTGCATCATATACCCTGTTTTTGAAAAAGTTATTTTTTAAATTTTAAAAATATTTATTATCATCTTCATTATCATCATCATCATCAACTGCTGATGAATCACTCTATGGACCTGGGCCCAGAATCTGTGCTTACAAAATTTCCTGGGATGCCAGTTACACTGGGAGTAGTGTAACATTGATGTTAACATCAAGTGTAACATTGAAATAACAGGTATTCACGTTTTGCAAAATACCTTGAACTTTATAAGATATGCATACTTTCCTGTATGTATGTTAGTTGTAATACAAAGTTAAAAAGGAAAAATTTCCTAGGTTATTCTTACATAACACTGATGCTGATGAATCTTTGACTTTTCTCTCACTACTGAACTGTAAGCCCTTTGAGGGCAGTGAAGCCATCTGCTTTATTTTTGTATTCCCAGCATCTGTTTTAGTGCCTACAACATAGTACACACAATAAATGATTAATAAATAAGACCCAAGGGAGTGCACTGGTTTATGGGTTTCCTTCTCCCTCACTTTCTTCCAAACATTTGTTGCACGCCCCTCCTGGAGCACATGACAGCTTACACCTCCTACACACACCCCTGAATAAACCTGTGAGATGCCACCTGGCTTCTTCCCTACCACACGCTGGGTGTAACTGATCCAAGCACCAGCCTGACAAGGGTAGGAAAAAGGAAGCAGGTGAAGGACATTCTGTCCCAGTACCAGTACTTTTGCTCTGCCTGGGTCTGAGCCACCTGGCTCAAGCCTTCCTCACTAGGCCTGGGAATTGAGCTGGAAAAAATATGTCCTTGGAGATACTGCAATGCTAAAGCTTCTATTTGCATCTCTGATGTAAGTTGCTTCCTAAGCCACTCAGCTCAATTATGTGGGAATTTGAAAATGATATATTTGAATATTTAGGAGTGGCTGGTGAATTTTTAGCAAATTTATAGTAGAAAGTGAGGGGGACTCTGTGTGAAATATCACCTAAGTCGGGGTATCCAATTTTTTGGCTTCCATGGGCCACATGGGAAAAATAATTGTCTTGGGCCACACATAAAACACACACTAATGATAGTTGATGAGCTTAAAAAAAAAGTCACAAAAAAATCTCATAATGTTTATGAATTTGTGTTGGGCCATATTCAAAGTTGCCCTGAGCTACATGCAGTCTATGGGCCATAGGCTAGACAAGCTTGATATAAGTCATTTATCCAATCACAAATAATTACCAAGAGCTTCCTAGGGATTGAGTGATGAACAAGTCATCTGCCTTAAAGAAGTTTACAGTGCAGTGGGGTGAGATGGGCAATCAAATAATAATAATGTCTAACTTTTTCTAGCACTTACAGTGTGCTGGACACTTTACATATGTTAACCTTAAATAATGAGATTTAGAGAATACAATTAAGTATGAAGTTTGCTGCAAAGCTTTAGGATAGACACCTGGAAACACTAACTCCAAATGAGTGGGATCAGCGCTCCAAAGTGGAGAAGTTAAGATTTCACTTATACTGTACAGGCAGAGATGGAGACATTCCAGTAGAATTACATTTTCCATACAAGACCAGTGCATATGCCACAGTAATTTGATTGGTTATAGACTGCTGCATTCCAAGGCAAATTGTTACTCCGTGAGGAGAGGCAATGATCCGAGGGATTCGTATCTCTGGCCCTGCACAGTCTTCCTAATTATTTACAAGGAAAAAAGGCAAGGCTGGGCATGGTGGCTCATGCCTATAATCCCAATACTTTGCGAGGCCAAGGTGGGAGGATAGCTTGAGTGCAGGAGTTTGAGTCTACAGTAAGCTATGATTGTGCCACTGTATTCCAGCCTGGGGGAAGGAGCAAGACCCTGTCTCAATAATAATTTTAAAAAGCAGAAGCTGTAGCTGCAGAACCACATTTCTCTGAAGTCTCACAATAAACTAAAGTTTCAACAGCTTGAAGTTTGAATTGTTTAATTTTACACATCTGTTACTCATTTCATCATTCTAACAACTCAGAGATGTCCTATTATTATTCTCAACTTACAAATGAGGGAACAGATGCACTCTATAGTTACAAACTGATAAAGAGTCATAAAGGGAGTACAAGGAATAGGAAGAGGGTATGCCAGGGAGACCTAATGTAGCCCTAAGGGTCAGGGAAAATTTCTCTAAATATGAGAAGTTGAAGAGGAGATCTAAGAGGCGAGTTGCAGTCTAGTAGACAAAAGAGATCTTAGGGAAGAGAACCGCAGGCAACGGAAACAGCAGAATGATGTTTAAGGAATTGAAGGCAGCACGGGGAGCCCCTTAAGGCAGGAAAGGTAGGCAGGGGCCAGATCACCTGGGTTTTTTTCTCTGTCTTTAAATAGCATGGTAAGGTTAGGGAAGCCAGGAGAGTTGAGATTTAGGGTGTAGTTCTACCTTTGCTCTTAATAACCTCAGTCATCTGTTTGCAGCTCAGTTTCCTGATGTGAAAAAAGTGTGCAAGAGTGGATGGGACCAGAGTGCTTCAGTGGCCCCCATGGTTCTCAAGCTCTGATTCTAGGTAAAACTCTGCTGGAAGGAATTGCCAGATGCAAGCCCTGGATGCTCCTGAATGCACTGAAGCTGAGAGGCCCAGCAACCCAGTAGCTAGCCAGCACTTGCCAGGCTCTGACTCTTCTGTAGATTATGTACAAATCATGGAGAATATCGCAAAATAAATCACACAGTAAGTATGGCTGTAAGCATCGTTTGTTCCCCTCCATCAAAACAAAGGGTGAACTGCTAATCATAACAGCGTAATAAGGATACTAATTGCCTTTCTGAGCATTTACTGTGTGCCAGGTTACCAGATACTTTTAGATTTTCTCACGACAGCCCCCTGTTATGGAAAGGAAAGTGAGGCCTCAAGAGATTGCATAACTTTGGGAAGATACCACTCAAATTAGTCCTGCACTCTGATCATGGACAGTCCTGTCTCCTATTGTCAAAAGTGTTACCTTGAGCAATAACGTTCTCTGGGTTTGCTAAGTGGCTGAGTTGGAATTTGAACCCAGTGCTAACTCCAAAGCTCGTAGTGTTGGTCACCATGTGATGCCACCTTCCTTTCTTAAAAAAGAGGCAACTCCTTACTCTATAAATAACATGACATTGTCTTTTGCAGTCCTTTCTGGGTGAGGAAAGTGCTTTTTATAGCATGGAATTGCTCCTGTTTACTTGGTCTCTTTCAGCACAGATTAATACTGCCTAGTTTTGTCCTTCACTGTCCTTACACTGTATTCCTAGGTTTCCTCCCTGCAAAAGACAACTCCATGAGACCACATGGTGTGTGTGTGTGTGTGTGTGTGTGTGTGCGCGCGCGCGCGCGCCAGCAAAGAAATTTCACTCCCCTCCCTCCCCAAGTCTGCCTACTTTTCTATAAATAATTGTTCTCCTCCCTCCTCTCAGGCCTCTGAGTAGTTTGGTCACTTAACCTAACGCACATGCACACATGCGCGCGCGCAAGCACACACTCACAAAGCGCGGAGGGCAACGTGAATGACCTTGCAAAGGTATCTTGCCGACTGGGGACAGGATTAGCAAACCTGAAACCTCTGCAAATATTTGTCTTCCTCCCGCATTCCTCCTGAAGCGGTTCGCTCCTCTCGCTGTCTCTACCAGTCCCCTCTCAGTTTTGCTCCGACATACAAAGCCTAACCCACCCATCTCCTCTCCGCAAGCCCAGAGAACTTCATTCCCCATGTTGAAACTCGTCGGTGGCAGTGGCGGGCAGGACTGGGCATGCTCAGTGGTGGGGACAAGTCTGGGAGGCGAGGAAGCCGCGTTTGAAGTCGCGCGGCCCGGGGGTCGGGGAAAGGCGGGTGGAGGGAGCCCCGGCTGGGGGTGTGCGGGGATCCCGGATTCCGCGTCCGGGGCTGGCGTGCTCCAGGCTGGCGCCGCGGGGCCGGCGCGCGGGGGGCAGGGCGCGAAGAAGGTGGGGGAGTCCGAGGGAGGAGGGGAGGAGCGCCGGGTTCGCCATCCCCAGGCGCCGGCTCTGCGGCTGCTGAATCGGAAGCCGCAGGGAGGATCCGGGGAAATAAAGACGCCCCAGAATGACCTCCAGCGAGGCCGCCTGAGCCGGGGCCTGCGCGCAGCCCCGCCAGCCCCCGGCATGGGTGACCGCGGCGGGCAGCCAGAGCGCTCGGCCCCGCACTCCCCAGGGGCCCCGGTGGGCACCAGCGCCGCCGCTGTAAACGGGCTGCTGCACAACGGCTTCCATCCACCGCCGATCCAGCCACCGCTCGTCTGCAGCCGGGGTCCCGTGGGCGGCAGCGACGCGGTGCCCCCGCGCCTCCAGCTCCTGCCCGAGCTCCAGCCGCAGCCACTGCTCCCTCAGCAAGACTCCCCGGCCAAGAAATGCCGGCTGCGGAGGAGGATGGACTCGGGGAGAAAGAACAGGCCGCGTAAGTCCGGCTGGGAGGGGAGCGCGGGCGCTAGGCAGACGCAGCGTGCTGGGCCCGGGACTGGGAGCGGCTGGGGCAAGCGCCACGGCACGCCCCGTGCGCCCCAGCGCCTGCGGCCGAGGGACTGCACAGAGGGGGTTCCCTGAACTGATTCTTTTCCTATAGGGTGTCAAAGGTCGTTGCCTGAGCCTGCCCTTTTGCTCGCTCCTGTCCATAGAATGGGCGGATTGGACACGGAGCTTGAGCGGGTCCCTAGGTGAAGGAGCTGTAATAGCGAACGCCCTGTCTGCCCTTCTAATTGGTGGCTGGGAAAATGCATGTGTGTGAACATTTGCTGGGATCCGGGACTGAGGATAAAGCACGCTGCACAGCCGAGCGTGCTCTCTCCTTTCTCAGCCCCTCTCTCCCCTCTGAGCGCGTCCTGCTGGGACTGCCTGCCCTTTGAATCACGGAGTAGCCGGCAGCGTCTCGGGTCTACGAGAGAGCGCAAGTCTGGAGGCGTGGAGTTTAACAACCCCCCCAAATCACAGCCTATTGGACGCTGTTTTTTCACAGCCAATGAAAGGGTTTTTTGAAAGGGACACACCCACTGATGCCATGTGGGCCGGAACTATGTGGACCAATGAGGATTGGAGGTGGATTTTTTTTTTTCAAGGAGGGAGGAGGTTGAGTTGAAGGTTTGTAATTGTAATGTACAGAAAGCCGAAGTGCATTATTTCACAATCTAAAGCTTGTATATATAATGGTAATTTGCAAAGTGTACCTTTCCCGCAGGACATTGTGGGATGTAAATTTGTAGGTCGAGTTTACAGCTGGTTTTTCTAAGCTGAACCTCATTCAACTGGTTACTTCTTTGTGGGTGCATTTAATGAAGCTTACAAATGGCAAAAAGCAAAGTAAGTAGAATGAATGCTAATAAATGACTGCATTTGAACACACCTTTTGCATAGAGGTTGTGTTGTTTGATATAGGGAAATTGTTAAGTAGGTTTTGGATTTCTGTAAAAGTTTGATGATTAGCAAATAGCACCTTCAAGTTTTCCTGTTTCTCTTTCCGTGTCTTTTTGACTTTTAGCCTTTCTGCATTGGATTAAGGTTTCTAAGACTTTGGAAACTACTTTGATATGACTGTTTGTGACTCCGATACTTGTATTTTGTAGGTCTGAAATGTTAAGATTTTGTGTGGAACTTTGAAGCCAAACAGCAGATTTGGCTACGGTGTAAGGTGTAAGGTTGTAATCTAGCACCTGAACTTTTATTTGCTTTTGTTTTTGATGCTTGTTAGAAAACAACTTTCATTAGTATTAATATTTTAAGTCAGGACTTAATATTGGTTACCTGTGATTTATAAGCCTGTTTTACTTATTTTGAAGCTACATTTCAGTTATTTCTCTGATCTACATTAACAGATTGTACTAGAGTTTACAATGAAAATAGCCAAAATATGATGAAAGGGAGCTTCTAGCTTAATCTTCTATGTTTAATTGAGGCTATAACACCTCTTGAAATAACTTCTGAGGAATTGAAAAATACACCCTCTAAGAGTATCTTGAAGACAAAAATACTGATCTGAGCCTTAACTTGGGCTTGCAAACCCATGGAAAAAGCAGTTCATCAAAATTGGATTTACACTATTTGCCATGTTTTCTTCCCTGAGATTTGAACAGCCATTTCTGAAATAAATTTTACTGTTCCGAGGAGTCACATCTGGCCTTTTCACTACCAAAATTTCATAGTTAAAATGGTTTAACTTAATATCTTTTTGTCTTGCCTGTTGACATTCCCATACCTTTATAAAAAGAATATTGCCTAATCAGTTGATATTTGGTTACTCTAAGAGGAATCAGGTACTGTAAGAGGAATATTTAGGCACTCTATGAGTATTTAGATACTCTAAGATTATTCCTATTTGCTGATGACTGGCAGATTTTACATGAGCAATTTTTGCAAAGAGAAGTTGGGTGCTTTGAATGTAAACTTGAAAGTGTCCCAGTGGTGAAACATCAAGCTGGACAAATAATTATTTCTTCCTTGTCAGTTATAACAATTTGGCCTCTGTCCAACTGGATGTGTTTTAAGACAGCCAGTATTAATACTTGTAAAGGCACCTCAAATGCATCTGTGAATAGATATGTTTCTATTTTGTAATATTGTAGGTAAAGGGCAATACACATTAAAAATACTTCATGTTTGAAAATGATGGATGGAATAAAACAGATCAGTATTTTTAGCTTATTTAAAACATTTTAATCTGACCTCTCAGTGCAGAGACTATTCACCATCCTGCAATCTAAAAATCAGTTCAATGGCAGGGTAATTTTGCTAAACCAGGGAAGAAGAATATTGTCCACTGTTTTCATCTGAAGTGCTGTCATCTCACTCTACTTATCCTTGGAAGGCTTTTCTTAGACTATCTACTTAATATCAGGCTTCCTTAGACACTTTACCCACCTCTGCTACATAGCAGCAGTATGATCTTAACCAAGTCACTAGGTCTCATCTTGAACTGCTGGAGCTAGGTTAGCTGATCTCCAAGTGCTGTTTCCTGTACCTTCAGAATTCTAGGACACTTCAGAGCTGACAGTTCTTCTTTCTAGATGACACTAATTATCTGCTCTGCCGTTGACAACATTTAATTATGAATGGATTTTTTTGCCTTGTGCTGATTTTATCACTTGTGTTGTATGTGTTATTTGTCTCGCAAATTGTCTGATTATAGACGATACATTTTTTTCTCATATGCCTTGCACCTTGGGTACAAGGATATATGAATGATGTCACAGAAAAAAGGTACAAGTAACCCTATCACTGTCTCATTGAGGAAGCCATTTCCACCTCCACAACAGACTTTGACAAAAGTCCTTCAGTGGCATTTCCATAAGGTATCAATAGGGAGATTCCTTTGGTCTGCTCCTTGGCCTTGGTGCGACGATTCTTTGACGCACACTTAAGTAGCACCTCATAAGGTCACCTCATTTACCAAATATTTTGAAACTAATGATAGTTCTAAGATGCTGTGAATGCTAATGTGTTGTAAATGGTGAGCTCACTTAAGGGCTTGAATTCTAGCTGGATGATCTTAGTTACTTTACCTATATGTTTCAGTTTCACATCAATAAAATGGAGATAATCTTACTAACTTGTGGAGTTGATATGAGGATTAAATAAGATAATATATATAAAGAATCCTCTTTGGTACATAGCACTTATTTATAAATAGCAGCTGTCTTCATCACCGACACACTAAACATTGTCCACCATTAATCCATAGGACAAGGCAATTGAGCTGGCACATACAACCTCAGGCTGACTTTCTTTGTTTTTAAAAAAAATACAGGCCAGATGCAGTGGCTCATGCCTGTGATCCTAGCACTTTGGGAGGCCAAGGCAGGAGGATCTCTTGAGCCCCGAAGTTCCAAGATCAGACTGAGCAACACAGGGAGACCACATCTCTACAAAAACTAAAAGTAAAAAAGTTACCTGGGCATGATGGCATATGCCTGTGGTACCAGCCACTCAGGAGGGTGAGGCAGGAGGATTGCTTGAACTCTCAAGGTTAAGGCTGCAGTGAGCCATGATTGCACACTGCACTCCAGCCTGGACCACAGAGCAAGACCCTGTCTCTAAATGAATAAATGAACAACAAACAAATATAGGCCTACAATAAGAAAGACCAAAGAGTTATATTTGATCTGCTATAATACTATTCCTATCCCACAATTCTTTCTTTTTCTTTTCTTTTCCTTTTTTTCTTCCTTCCTTTTTTTTCTTATCCTTTTTTCCCCTGAATATAGATAAAAATATTGGATAGCACAAAAATATATAGGAAGAAAGCAGGTAAAAGTATCTGTCATCCCACCACTTAAAGAAAACAACTGTTTAAAATGTGCCATATTTTAATGGTAATTTTGGATCATACTAAGATTTTGATAACTTTTTTATTAAAAATTTTGGTATAAGCATTTTCTCATGGCATCTAAACATCATTCTTAATGGTTGTGTTATATTTCTGATATTCCATTATGTAGATATTCCAAAATTTGTTTAATCTATCTCTTGCAGCTTTAGACCACACGCAGGGTCTTTATATCACAAAGCACACACACACAAACACAAACTTTGAATCACTAATTCAGACATTGTAGTCTTGATTAGAACTTGGAGTATTTTGCTGTATTAGAAAGCAAAGTGTGGCAGCAACAACTTTGTACATACCTCTTCCTCCCTAAAGTTATTTTCAGTAATATTGGTGAATGTATACTTTTTAGAGGAAGAACATAAATGACACAAAGTAGTATATAGTTGTTGTCTTGAAAATCTAGATATTTTAGACACCAATGACACTATTTTAGAACAGCCATAACACTAGTGAAGAGAGAAGAATGCAAAGGAAATAATTGAGTCACTGAACACTACACTGCAGAAAGGCAAACATGTGAGTATCATCTGAAGGGTTCATGTGCTACCCTATTCCATCGCATTGTGTGGCAACAGGCAGGAATATTGAGTTACATGCAGTCGGTCTTCTAGTCGGTGGTTCTGACTTCTCAAATCATCCAGATAGCAGAAAATGAGTGAGAGTTCATTATGCACTTTGTGTACGGGTTGGTACAGACTGAAAAAACCCCAATCTGTTACCAGTTTTAGCCATCATTGTGAAAGTATAAGGCTTTAATTTTCTAAATATTGGGATGCTTAGCTTTGGCACTTGGACATTACCTTACCCTTGAACCGGGCTAATTAGAAAAAAACAGTGTAAAAAGATAAACAAGAAAAATTGTCTGTCTGTATCCGCATAGATTGTGGGTGCATACAGTATTTTTAACAATTTTAACATAATCAGTACTTCTAGATGGATGAGAGACATTGCAAATTCAAAAACAAAAGACTGAAATGGAAAGCAGGGTCACACTCTAGCATTGCTGCCTTCTAGGGCATGGTCAGATTCCCAAGTTTGTCAATTAAGCTATGAATTGTACAATACACACTTGAATTGATGAT